AATTTTCTTGGATTATTTTATTATTTGAAGTCAATAAAAGAAAATCTGCTTATTCATTTATGGTATTATTTAGGAGTCTATCTTTTGTTTGTCAGATGTCAGATGTGCTCCTTGCGAAATCAGAGGTTTCTTGTAAATGGCTCCAGACATCCTTCGTCCAACTAAAACCTTTCTTCCAGTGTGTACAGAGATGAGCAGCATCTGCTGTGTTCTAATCCCCTGTGATGAATGCACCAACAGCTGGACAGTCCCACAGTCGGGTCAGAGTCTGAGGAAGTGTTTGGTACAGGACCGGACGTAACGGATCTGACCCAGACACGGAGCATTTGACTCTAAAGTTCATTCAGAAAAGCAACGGAGGCAGAAAAACCCTCATCAGCTTATCACCTTTACCTCAGCTCAGAGTCAGAGCTGATCACACACAGACACACACACACGTAGATGAATTAAAAATAAACACACCGGCAGAAGCAGTGTGCATTCATGCCATTCCTCGTGTGTGTACAATTACAGAGGAAGTGAACCTGATTAAAGGTCAGAGGATGCAGGCAGGGAGATTCCTGGCAGCGCAGTCAGATCTGCAAGACGGAGAGCAAGGAGATCTGGACCACTGCTGTGCTGCCAACATTCAGCACCTTATAGTTTTACTGTCACTGTCTGTGGTGGATCAGAATGTCACGTTGTAAGAAGGAGTGAGCAGATATTTTTGAAAAACAACGTTAAACTACGCCTTAAAACTACATTAGAATATAGAAAGATACATTGTTAGATGATATTTCTTTGTTTGATTTGCAAGAATGAAAATTCACTTGACTCCCAGTATATAAAAATCATTCATTCCTTCATCTACTACTTGTTCCTTTTCCTGGGTCAATCACAGCTATCTACGGGTGAGGGCCCTGGACAGTCCATCAGTCCATCACAGGGCCACCTATGGTAAATTTACAGTGTCCGATCAACCTACTCCACTATCGAGCATACAAACTCCATACAGAAAGAAATGGAAACTTGCGCATCAGTGATATTTTTGCTGTAAAGGCAAGAGTCCTACCAACATTTGCCACCTTGTGGCCAACATGAATCACATACTTTAAAATAAATACATTAATTTTCTTGGATTATTTTATTATTTGAAGTCAATAAAAGAAAATCTGCTTATTCATTTATGGTATTATTTAGGAGTCTATCTTTTGTTTGTCAGATGTCAGATGTGCTCCTTACGAAATCAGAGGTTTCTTGTAAATGGCTCCAGACATGTTGAGACAGAAAGTACAAAAAAAACAGGAGAAGATAAAGGAGCAACAAGTTGTCTCTTCAAAGCTGCGAGATGGAAAACGTGACAAGTGTAACAAAACCACAAACACTAACCTGCAGTGAGCCAAATCCTAATGATTAAAAGAGATTGCTGTGCTTTTGACATCATCTGTGCAAGCACAGACCAAACAAACCGGCATTCACGCAGGAGCCGGGACACAACGGCAGTGAAATGCCAAAGCTCGGAGTGGCCTGAGGGCAGGAACATGGCTGTGCCCTATTAACTCTGAGGATCATCAGTGGCCTTTTTTCCGCTGGTTTCTGCAGTGGGAATGGGATGCTAACACTGCCACATGTGGCGCACCGACACACACACACATATTCAGTGTGTGAACAACATGGACAGACTGTGATTGTTAGTAACAAATGATGTCATTATCTCAAAACGCAGCAGCTTGAATATTATTACCATATCAGTGGGAGTCAGTTGGGATTCCTGCCAATCGTCTCCCACTCTCCAACTCACTGGTGGGAAAGAAAAGGCCGGGTCAGGGTCTTGTTCTGAATTTTCTTTTTTTTTTCATACCTGTGACATGTTTTCATTTCACTTATGCCATGTCAGGGTGTGAAAGTCATGCAGCTGCCTCTCTGGTATTTCAACCATCCACTCAAACAGCATTATGAATACCAGAGCATGTTACTACAGAAGGCACTCCCTCGGGAGGATCCCCCGGTGATGCTAATGTTTTTTTTTTTGTTTTTTTTTTAGTATCTGGAAGGCACACAAACGATCGTGCAGAAACACAGTAGGAGACGAGGGAGAGAGAGGTAACATGGGGTTCCCATGGCAACCGCACAAAACAGCATGTTTTCACCATGGTAACAGAGGTGGTGAGGGAGTACGGTGGAGATAGTGATGGAGCCGGGGCTGATGCCTGCCTCTGGGCGTTCGATGTCCACCGTCATTCAACCACAGAGTCATCAACAGAAATGTTTCACATCTGTGAAGAAATGCTCATACGACCCCCTGAAAGGTAGGCATTTTTAATGCAAATAACAATTTTGGTATTTTTTAAAATATAAAAATCACCTTTGGATTCAACAGACAGACAAAAAGAAAAATGGGCCACATCCCAGTTGGCAGTGGGTCAGCAGATTGTTGGGCTGTAGAAATAGCTGTTTCTTTTTTTCCCTCTCTCCTCTTTACTATAAGTATATTATTAGTAATATTTGCCCTGAAGGTCTGTGAGTTTCTGTAGCCTGTGATCCACCGACTCAAGCAGTGGACCAGCGAAGATGAGGAAGAGGATGATGACGTGTGTTTATGGGGAGTTCATAAGATGTTAGGTGATGGATAATTTGGAGATATTGGCACTGCACAAGAGACGGAGGGGAGGTGGCATATATTATAGTTAGATATATGTATATTAATTAGTACAGTGTTTCCTAAACAGCACATATATATCATCAGAAAAAACCCCACGAAAAAAAAAATCTCATGTTCACAGTGTTTCCTAAACAGCACATATATAAATCATCAGAAAAAAACAGACAGCCAAAAAAATCTCACAAATAGTAAACTGTATGTAATGAAATATAATAATATTCCAGTTTAATTGACCTCATAACTGAACTAAAATCTCGGTCTGTTTAGATAAAGACAACGCTGATATACTGGCAGGAATTGAAGAAAGACACTCACAAAGATCTTCTTCAACAGCTCTGATTATTATTTTAGTTTTTTAGTTTTAATAGCCATCTGCTGCCACCTAGCAGAAGATGATTTAATTGCTCTGCCTGTCACACATGGACAAAGAAAGAAAAAAAAATATTTGCAATAAATAAACAATAGTTTTGAGACCAGTTAAGTGACATTGGACAATAAATAAATAATAGTTTTGAGACCAGTTCAGTCCACGACACAGTGGTTGGGAATCACTGATTTAGTAGAAGAAAAATCAAGCTGCAAAGAGGAACTCTTGAAGGACACCACAAGTTAGAAGAGCTTGGCTTCCACTGGGTGTGAGTGCAGTGGTCTCTGAAGATCTGGGCCTGGTGTGTCATTGCCCCCAGGATGGAACGACCCATGAAGAGAGCTTGGACTGGAGGCAGGAATGAAGTGATCAGGAAGAACGTCAGGGGTGAAGTCAGAGGTGTTTGGGTCATGTGTTGAGGAGAGATAGTGAATTTGCACAAAGGATGTTGGAGACAGAGCTGCCAGGCAGGAGGAGAAGAGAAAGACCTCAGAGAAGATTCATGGAGGCCATAAAGAAGGACATAAATACGGCTGCTATTACAGTGAAAGAACAAGCTGAGATGGAAGTGGACGATTCTGGTCACTCCCAACATGAGAGCTGGAGAAGATTGCGCTCTTAAAGGGACAGAGTGCTCTGTAGATGAGGGAAGGAGACACGAGGAGAGCTCTCTCCAGTTGGAGCTGCTACAAAAAGTGATAGTACTTTCTCAGTTTTATCTACCCACGCACCAAGTTTCTAAACGAACCAAAAATGGACAAACAAAAAAAAACTCCTTAATAAAAGTAATTAACTAATCTAACTCTGCTCTCTCTCTCTTCTCTTCATTAACCATCTCTGGGTTTTTTAATCACCCTTTCCCTTTTTTATGCTTTAAAGCTCTCGTGGGCCTTGTTTGGAGCCAACAATTGTTTTCAGGGGAGAAAATAAAATCACTGTAAGTAGCACCAAAAAAACGACAGACTTAATTATCTAAAACGGTTTTTACAGATGGTGAAAAAGACCATGTAAAAGAAAAGTATGAAAAAAACTTAATGATAGCGTAAAATATTCTGGAGTTTTTTCACTCTACTTTAAATGTATACTCAAATAGAGAGTGTAGCTTAGCATTAGAAGCTAAGACTGGTAAACAGTGTTAAATCTATGGGATAACGTAATGTATTAAATATCCTTTAGTTCAGTTAATGCAGTTCCTGAGCTCCAAGAGAACTTGTTCTTCACACGCCATACAGATACGTTAAGGCCACGCCCTCGTGTACTGTACCCGTGTTATTAATCTCATTAGTTTAACAACCGCTTCACACAGGAATCCATCACAAACATGTCTGTAGCGATTAGGAATATGTCGACGTGTTTGTTCAGGCGTCTTCAAAGCACGTATCATCACGAACCTACGCATACTTCAAATATCTGTATATTTAAATACTTCAGCTCTATTACCGTACAGTTCAAAATAATATCATTACCCTCCTACGTTGTTTGATTTTTGTGACATATTCAGAAAACCTATTACAGGAAAAGTGTAACTCTTTCAGGATAAATTTAATATTTATTTGCGATCGGATGAAATGTATGGTGGAACAATATGAACCTCCGAATGTGACAAAGAAATACAAGATGTTTAGATGTTAATAAGAGTCGCAGCGGTTTTTTTGTCTGTATAAAATTGAAAATATATATTTATAAAATTATTTTTGTGTTCCTGGGGCAGGACAATGTGCGGAAGCTCACTGTAGTCACGGTAGCAGGTGGGTGTGGTACAGAGCCTGACTTATCTCTACAGCGTAGATATGAACCAATGTCTCCATCTAGTGGCAAAATGGCATAATAACGTGTAATTTCTCAACGCGAAATCACTATTTTCTTTTTTTTCCTTGTAAGCTTCGGGCTTTTGTTAATTCTTGTGTCCATACAATTTTTAATTTTTACTATTTCCTGCAGATTTATTAAATGTCTGTCTTATAGGAAAGAAAAGGCCATGACAAAATAACATTAGTTTGTTTTTCCCAACAAATCCAACGCTTTATTTGCAAGTCTTCCATGCAACTCCCTCATCGCAGTTATACCACTCTCAAATAAAATAAACAAACAAAAAAAACCCCACATAAATATACACACACGACGGACTCATCTGGGCGACCATATATTATCAACATAATTACACACAAATATAAAACTAGCATCTGTGTTTGACGTCAATATATAACGGCTGCCCCACCTCTGTCGTCTTTACACTTTTCTACACGGACTAGTTGCTATGCAGTTGCATAGTCTCCGTAAGTTCATTATGTCATTGCATAAGAAATATAACTGGACTTTAAGACTGAGGTGTTCACCAGCAGGAGGCGCTATTCTCTAATTTTAATTTTTCTGCTTGCACAGCTGAGCCTAGTGGTTAGAGGATAAGAGGATCACAGGTGGTGTGTTGATCAAACACCAATCCCGCTGCTTCTCACACGCTTTCTGCTCCCCAGACATGGGATGATAGGTAAAACTTCTTCCATTTCCCAGTTAAAATCAACAAAGTCAGAAAGGGTTTTGCTTATAAACAGGTGTTCAACCCAAAGAAATGGAGGTGGGTCAGCAGGGTCGGCTAAACTTAGCTAAGTCCAGATAGATGAGGTAACACCTCTGTACATAAAACCATCTTTGCACCGTGAAGCAATTTTAAGATTTTCTTTCAAGGTAAGACAGTAAGAATTTTGTTTCCAAACACTCCTGTACAGAGAGTGTACAGCCCCACTAATACTGGGCTCTGCGCTACAACATACCAGCCAGCACAGCATCACCTGACGCATCTCTAATCTCTGGTGTGCAAGTCTTCATCCTCCAAAATTTTAATGTGTAGTAAAAAATAGTAAGTGAAAAATGTTTTGTCTTAGTAGCAGAACTAGATTTTTAAAAACACTGCTGATGAACCAGTGCCCTCAACTCATGGACCAGGACTCCACAACTGTATAAAGAGCACCTATAACAGGATGCGAGGGGTTAATGTTTGTAAACTGTGAGTCGGAGTTCTTTACCTAAAGTTTGAACTGCGACCTCTGCATGTCTTTGAATGAACAAGTATCTAGAATGTTTACAATGTCGCAGTGAAAATAAAGAAACCTTGACTTTATGTCTGGAAACTTCTTTCAACTATAACTTTTATGAAACTGTCCTACATAGAAATATTTTGGCACCCCTGTGGAGGATGTGTTCAGTCAAATATTTTCTTTAGAATCAGTTACATTCTAAAAACAACATTCATTTTATTTTCCATCTTTCACTTAACTTGAGTCTCAGTTGCACATGAGCCGTTTGAGGTCTTACTCCTCTGCCTCGATACAATGACGCCTTCAAACTGTGATGATCATCAGAAGGCGATGATACAAGCGTGTCTCCGTCTCTGGTACAAACTAATTTTACTCATTCATCAGCCTGCTGTCAGGCTCGGGCTCAGTTCAGGTTTAGCTCAGCCAAAACATGGCCTCAGGGAGCAGCGACACAGACAATAATCTGTACAAAATTCTCCTCTCCTCCTCTAATTCCTCACTCACCTTTTTGTATTCTCTGCTTTTTGCTCCACAGCTCTATGATCATTGCTTCTCTTCCTGCTTTCTCTCTCTGTCCTGATTCAACTCTGATTTTCTCACTAGTCTCTCTCTCTCGGTTTCTCACTCACTCTCCCTCTCTCTCAGTGTTGTAAGAGGAAGTTGGTGGCCATATTGATGTCATTATTTGAAGCTCTGAGTGCCTCCAGGGCATCGATTCTGGAAAAGCCCATTTCTACCAACCGTGCAACCTGTCAAAAGAAAAAGGACAAAAGATCAGTTAAAAATAATCCACTGCTCATAATACACATGTCACGTCACTCAATGTGGGTAGGACACAGAGATCAAACCTAAAGCTCACGGGCTAAATCCGGCACGCACTGTAATTTTAATGTGGCCCACCAGAACGTAACATGAGTGTGGTGATCTTAAAACACAGTTCTACAGTATAGTCTGTATACTATTGTTTACTGGGTGGGTTGAAATGTATTTTTATCGTAAACTACATCTCCCATACTGCAGGTTGATTTTTGTGACACGTCCCCGGCTGTTCTTAGACAGTATTTTAAATTTAGAGTACTGTGACCTCTCACCTGCTCCTCTGCCACAGGTGAGTTGTCCAGAGGAGGCGGCTGAGTGGACGCCTGTGTCTGGACCTGGGGATGAGGCTGTGTCGGGAATCTGTTCTGTCCTCTGTGTCTCAGAGAGGGAAACAACCTGGTCCACTGTAACAAACCGGCCTGTGAAGACAAACACAGACAGGAGTGAAGGCACCATTGAGAACTGGGTAATAAATAATACATACAATTACATGCCAGCAAAGTGTGAGGGCAGCGGCTAAAGCGGTGTGAAGTCTCAGACACACAGTCAAAAACAACATGTAGTGAACACTCCATATATCGCCCAGCAACAATAGTGCAAGATTCTGCTGCTTTTCCACCTGGTGCTGCTGCCTGCTGTTCCTCCTGGTCTCGTTGTACTGGGCCAGCATCAGCTGCTGGTCCAGCAGGTCCATCCTCTGCTGCCTCTGGATGTCCAGTGTGGCGCCCATCCCCAGAGGAGTCTCATTGGTCGGCTGGGAACCTTAAATTCACCAGTGATAAAAACACAACAGAAAAATGTTCATCAGTGGTAACTGAGTGTATTTGTATCACATTATATGGACACACTGACTAATGTCATCGTCATATTGATGTAACTTTATGTACTGTATTACTCAGTATTGACATTACTTGAAAAGATCGGCTCCAAAGTACAACGTCCGATACGAGCCAACCAGGCAGGAACGAAGAGGAACTTCTGTAAGTGGAGAACATTGGAGTAGAACAGACCACCTGAGATCTGAAAAAGAAAACATTGACAAAATTATCTCAATTTATATCTACAGTAGTGGCAGCAAACAAACAATATGAATTCCTTCAAATGATGAAGAACTTTAGTTGATTTTTGTTGTTAAAGTAATGTTTGCAAAAAGCAGATCATTAAAGAAAAACTCTTCAAATCAGGAGGCTAAAACTTTCACCAATGCCAAGTTCTACCAACATGTGTAAAATAAAGGTTTATTCTGTACTTCTCTCTTTTTTTCACAGTAATTTTTAATGACAAGAGAAATCTGGCTACTCACCAATCCACTGAGTGCAAGAAGCCACATGAATGTATTTGATGTCAGCAGCTGGAAAAGAGGACAAAAGAAATTAAAGACTGGACGTCCTACAAACATGTTGGGAATTATGGAGGGAAAAAAAAAACTGTATAAAGTTAAACGCAACCACTCACACACAAAAACACCAGCAGATTCAGCATAGACCCTTTACCTGCAGGCCTACAATGTAGACCAAAGACTTGTTGGTAATGTGGATCTGACCCAGGACCTGTGTGATTGGAATCCTTGGGATGGACAAGTAAAAAGGCACGAACAAAGAGAAGATGGGGGCGAGCCTGTGGCAGAGGACAGGGAGTTGATATGATGGATGAACAGTGAGGACGTAGTTTTGCTAGAGATGCTGAAAAAAAAAAAGTAACTCACAGTCCTGTGGGCAGTTCCTCTACTTCATGGTCAAAGATAAACAGGAAACTCTGCGCCAGGAGAAAGTCCACGAGGGCCGACAGACACCAAGTGCCAAACAGGTACGACTGGAATTGAGATGAGAAACATGTGCCACGTAGTCAAGTCCAGTGTCTTTGAATGTTAATTGAACATGTTTAGACTTAATACTTGGTTTGAAGTTGATCTAACCTAACCCAATCTGATCTGATCTAATCAATGACACCTACCATAGTGAACACATAGAGATAATGTTTTATTATTGAGGAGGTGATTATTTTTTAGTTACCGCAAATTTCCTGGTGCCGAAACTCCTCTCAAAGATCCGGAAGTTATAAATGAGAAGGCTGCTGCAGAAGGAGTCCTTCACATCTAAACAGACCAGTCTGCCACACAGTAACCTCCACACCTGCGGCAAGAAAGACAATTATATTTACATTTACATTTCTGTTCCAGTCTTAAACACACACCTTAACAGCCTGATGACACCGTTACACCAGAGTCATCACATCAGAAGCCATACATTTAGATAGCAGGTTAAATGCAAGGTTGCTGTGGATTAATATCAACTAATCGTGAACAATCATGATTAATCACTTGTTACTTAAGGCATTTGATCTATTACTTTCCCACAGCCCCCTCATGTCATCAAAGACAGACCATTAAACTAAGATGAATGTTCCCTTTATGTCTAATGAGACGGCCCTCTCTGATGTAAAAAGATGTGAGCTAATGTTCTAAACAGAACAGACACTGAAGAGAAAGAACCTGGTGCTGGTTCTTCACAGCCCGCAGGTTGTAGACAAACAGCTGTTGGTACTGTGGCAGCAGGGTGAGCATCACAGTCAGACCACTGAGAACCAGAAGAAGGCCCTTCGACAGAGGAGCCTTATCTGCAAACAACAACAGGGAAATACTGTGAAACACACAGAAGAGGTTATTCCACTTCACCTGGCCCTAAATGTGTGTCAACGTCTTCATTAAAATGTAAACTGAGTGAATTATTTTAGTAAAAATGTATTTATAATTAAAGGCCACTACATCATAATATTAACATTTAAAAGATTATTTCTGAGAGAAGAGAGAATTCCACCACAACATGTAACCTCAGTTTACCCTTTTAGGACTGTAAACTGAACATATATTTGTTGGTAAACAAGGTTACACAAGGTGTGGTTTCTTGCAGTTTGAAAACCCAGGTTCTGCCTAGAGTTATTTTGCGGCATATTTAAATTGAAAGACTGACAGCTGACAGTTTAACAAAGTCAACTTTGAAAGTGACGTTTAGAGCTGAACGGGCAAAAGGATATGGTTAGTGTAGACACCGCGATAAAACAAATTAGTCTGGGAAAATCGACACCGGACAATAATAATAACAATATATAAACGCTACTGTGAACCAAATGTTTAAATGTTTAAAGGTTTTTGTTTACATGTATTTAACTGTACATCTTAGCGTCACGTCTAAAAGTAAATTATTATTATTATTTGACTCAAAATAACATTTAAGGATATTAAACATATTTTCCATTGCTGTATTATCAACTGAATAAATGAATGGCAGCGCAGTGCTAACAGTAGTTAGCTCCGTTAGCTGTGTTACAGTAGCCGCTGACAGGGAGGCGGGGAGTGAACACTGCGACAGCCCGGCTCTGACTCGGATTCTACGTTGTTTTATACACACTTACAGAAGCCCCGAGAGCCAGAGATGGTAAACATGGTGTCTGAGTATGTGGCGCTGTCCAAACGAAGATTGTTACTCCCAATAAAAAACAAAACAAACACTAAGGCAGCGAAGTAAAGTTAAAGTCAGGGTCCATGCTGAGGGAAGAAAGCGACAGAAACAGAGGCTAAAGGGAACTGTTCTACGGAAGTCCAACTAGCCCAAAAATATCGAGGTGGCTTTCTTTTTTTTTCTTCTATGCTGGATTATTAGAGGAGGCCAAAGAGCATTAAGGTCGATTACTGACACCTACTGAGCTGTAATCTGGGTTTGGTGCTCTTTTTTGGCAAAAATGCTACGACAAAGACGAGTATTGTGGTACAACTGGAGTATCAGCAAAAGTGGAACCTGTACACTGATTTCACGTTTCATTTATTTTTCGTGTAAAAATGTAACTGCAAAAGAAGAGCAAAGATAATAATAATAATTATTATAACAACGGAAATTAAGACACACGATCATATTAAGCAAAGAAGAGCAAAGATAATAATAATAATAATTATAACTACGGAAATTAAGACACTCTACGATCAGGTTAAGAATGGTTTATAATGTATTTTTTCCTAAAAAGAAAACGGAAATTCAACAATCCTTAATGAAATATTATGTTTCAAACATCGCAATGTAAATTCTGGGCCTGTAGAGGACGCTATAGCTCTATTTTAACAATAATCTATGACTATCGTATTATTTCCTACCATAAACTTTGCCCAAAAACAAACTACTTTTTTTTAATCCGAACAAACGAACTAATGGTGTAGTGCATTAAAACTATTTTTCATGCTGTTGCATAGTTTTAAGACAAACACGAGCAAATACAAAGAAAGGCTGAAATAAGTAAGTACATGAAAATGTAATTATTTCATTTTTAGTTTTCTGCTGCCTTCGGTTGAATATCCAGGGATTGAAATAGTCGTTATTTATTTTAGATTCCATGTTCTCTCAGTATCAGCTTTTCTTCTCCATCTTTCCCACCTTTGAGCTTGTCTTTATTCTTTCTCTTAAATCTAGGCTAATCAATATTTAGAAAAAAAGTGCCTTCTAAGATTCTTCATTAGATTAATCCCTAATTATAAGTGGAAAAAGCACTGGGTTGTAAATTAGCAAAGGTCGTGGCCAGAAGTGAGAAACTCTTATTCTGTAGCGTGCCCTTTTCAGACCATGGCACGGTACAGTGTAGCATGTTATCAGAGCAAAATGAGAGATAAATCAGTGTGTACATCACTCCATTGTTGCAGCTGGAAAAGGTTAAGTTCAATTTGATGGCTGTGTGTACTGCTGGGCTCATAAAAGGCGGAAGAGGGAATGTCCGGAATAACCTGGCTCTCGGGGAGTTGGTCTCACTGGGTGCATTTAAAGAAGCCTCATTTTCAAAAACTTGCAGATATGCACATCTGGCTGTGCATTTTTTGAGACCAATTAATTTCCCTGCTGTCTGGGCCTCGGTGTTGATGCTGTAGATGAAGTGTGTTGTAAAATAAATAATAATAATAAAAAAATCCCAGACAGATTTTATAACGGTTGAGTCGAACAATTCAGCTATTTCATGTAAATACAATTTTATATAAATCTTCTTCTGTTTATCAATAAAGTGTTTGTATTAAATTGGATGTAAAATATGTAAACAGTCATCACCCACTTGGGTGAGAGTTGAACCATCTGCTGACTCACCCCAACATTTCTGCGCTCTCATAACTTTTATAAAGAAGTTTGTTGGTTTTTTTAATTGCAGACAGGCAATATATCAGGACAGAGGCTGCAGCATGTACGACTTTCCTTCTCAGAGGCGTCATCTTTCTGGATATAACCCTGATTAGTAATCCCTGCGACTTCCACAGGTGATTTCCAGGCCCTGCAGCACCGGTTTGATCCTGTTTTATCTTTAGCTCCGTCGTGTTTAACCACTTATAAATGTGTTTATGGACTAAACTTGCATACAAGTAGCACGGGGACTGTTTTGTCGCTTAAGGCCGTGTGGTCAGTTTTCTGACAGAGTAGTAACAATGTTAATTATCTTTGGGGGCCTTGAGCAGGATGTGACTGCACAAAGTCCAACTTAATGACTTTTTCTGATGGTCCTGTGGCCTTTTGCATACAACGTGTCGTATCTTGTCAAGGTCCAGACTTCCTTTATAAAAGTCCTGCTATTTTTTTTCTTTTTTTCTTTAACTCCAGGCTGCAGTCAGTGTGTCTATTTTTTTTCTGAATCTGGCTGCGACCGTTCATTAGATGCAACTCTTATGTTATGTCCAAGTACATTTGAAAAGATATGGTGAACAGCTGTCTAATAGTGTTGCATTTCAGAATCATCCGCAGATGCAGCAGCGTGTTAGTCCTCATTGGTTAGTTCCCACCCATTAGGTCTATTTGGCTGCTGGTGGTCAGATGTGACGGCAAAGCAAGAGCTGGGGAACAGCTTGCTAATTGTGTTTCAGACCTTCTCTGTCACTGATGTAGGAGTGAGGTCTAAAAAAGGTTGCTCTGCCCCTGTTCTCAATCAAAGATAATACGATTAAACAGCACCGGGATGTGTGTATGTGTTTGTGTATGTGTGTGTGTATGTGTGTGTGTGTGTGTGTGTGTGTGCTTCCCAATAAAGAGACTCCAGATTTGGAGACAGCCTTGACTCCTGCTGTTTGCTTTGTTCATTAAGAGGAGATGAGCAGATGGTTTGCTGGTCTGTTGTGCAGTGCACACATGCGGACGTGAGCGCAAACACACACACACACACACACACAGAAGCATGCACGGACACACACACACACATGCAAATACACATACATGCATGCTCGGTCCTGTCACCTTAGCTTTATCCTCCATTTATCTTTTCCATTACACATCTCTCAGCAGGACTGTGTATTGTGAGGGATGTGTGTGTGTGTGGGTGTGTGTGTGTGTCTGGTGTCTGACAAGGCAGCGTGAAAGAGTAGAACAGGAGTGAATGAAGTCACAAAGCTTTTTAGTCAAGACAGCCTCAGAGGTGGTCAGGAGCTGATGACTCATTCACACATTCATTTCTGTGAATCATTGCTTTTCACTTGTCAGCCACTCTGTTTTCAGGAAGAATTGCTTGTAGCAGAGGTATTGTTTTATTCCTGCAACACAGCTTATCTGCCCGTGTCCAGGAAACGGCACACGGCACATTACCACCAGGTTGCCTGAGCAGAGACTGGCCCAACGCTATTTATACGCAGCAGAGGAAAACTTCATCTTACCGGCTGTCTCTTCAAGACAGGAATGAAACAACAACGGCATTTAAAAAAAAAAAAGAGTCCTAACATTGTTACATATTATTTTGCTTACGAATCATGATTGTACTGTAAGGGTGTACAGTAACAGTCACTCCATGGAGGTTTTTTTTCATCTCAGAAATAATATATATGAAGGGTGTACAGTAACAGTCACTCCATGTGATACTTGTGATTATTTTTAAAGTTTTTTTTTCATCTCAGAAATAATTTATATTTAAATCCTGCCCATGTTTAGACAAAAAATGGAGGCTATTGGAACCCAAAGAACACCATCCCCACTTAATGATAAAAGAATTACTATGTACCTTATTACGTCAAAGTGATATTTTGAGAAACTGAGACAGGCTCTGACCTGACCTGACCTAGGTACCTATTTCCTTGTTGTTGTTTTGTCAGATAATCATTTCCAAGAATCAGTATACAAAAGTAGAAACTCTATAAAAAAAAAATTTTTTTTGCAGAAACTTGACCTGAAAATTTAAAATATTGTCACCTCATTTTTAATAGTTCTTGTTTTATTTTGAGTGTCCTCGTCCTTCCCGTCTTGACTGTAGGAGACTCCTGTGAGCCGCATCGTCAACATTTCACCAGAGGACAGTTTACATGTGACACCGCTAAGCGCCTTCCTGTCCGTGTGTCAATACTTACGTGCAGGGTTTTTTAAAGATGGCGCACTAATCAATGTTACACCAGTGCTTATATATGTACAGACATGCAAGTGCAGGGACCCTCTCTGCCCCCCCCCCAACGCCCTCCACCAAGTGCCTATACTCCTCTGCATGCACAATAAAAATCTCAAGGTTTTTTACTGCCTCTACAGAACACTAAGGCATTTTGTTTGTGACTAAAAACAATAATATTATTAATAATAATAACAATAATAAGAATCAGGTCCAGCAATGAAAAAAGAGACACGTGAAAACAGGAACAAAGGAGCGCTAGCACAATTTAATAAAAAGGATTTGTATTGTTTGTATTGTCCAACTGCACTACTGCATAACATACACAATACACGTCATTTACTGACTGTACAACATGCCATTGTGTGCGTGTGTTTTTTTTTTTCATTTACTTTTAATAATAACAAAAGGATGACTATATCGTATATGTACACAACTCTCTGACAGGTAATATTGTCCAGACAGACAGCACTGACAGAAAACAACTGTGATCATTTTCACCTAGGATTTAAAAAAATGATTTTGAAAGAAACACAGTCAGAAACACATAATAATAATAATAATAATAATGAGAAGAAATGTGACGCAGTTCACACTGTGGCCCAGTGTTGGCGATGAACTGCAATAAATTAAACGAGACCGAAAACGAGAGAAGGAGTTCAAATGTCAACCTCAGAACGTAGAGGTGCGTCTCAGATATGACTGAGCATGCCTGTCCGTTGTTTTTTCTCTATCCATCCATCCATCCATCCATCCATCCAGTCATCCATCCATCCATGCTTTCATGTCGGCTTCAGTACATCCCAGCTGCCTTCAGAAACACTCTTCCCTCTGAAATGAAAGAAAAACAGATAATGTTGTTCAAGAAATTATAAAAACAATATCATTATTAATCTCCTGTTAATGACCATGAAGGGAATATTTAACAATTTAGTAAAAAGTTAAGACTTTAATTTCTTTCACCTACAATTTATTTTCATCAGCTTTCAGTTAAAAATGTCTTCTGCCCCCGTGTTCCCATTTTTTGAGCTAAAAATGGCTGGCACAAAGCGCTCACATCCTGCCCTGCTGTCTGACAGACAATTCCCCTTTAAATGATTTATTACCGGGTGTTAATTATGCAAATGATGTCCAAACAAACTCGTCATGAGGACAATTAAGACAGCCGTTAATTAGTGGCCAGTTTTCTTCTTGCTTCACTGACATTCAATTAAAAATTGCCTTTGGAACAAGAGCGCTGGCTGGTACGGCCGTGGCCTGGCTCGCACGGCGTGGAGAGGAGAGGTGTAGGTGGAGCCGTACACTCTGGAGATCACTGCTGTTTCTTTATGGAAGTTCATTCCCTTTATCTGTCCTGGTGTAGACAGTTAACGTCCTAGAAAAGAATTTCTCTGTCTTTCCTGAACTTCACCACAGCCTGTGTAGCAGTGGTCAGAGGATCGGGCTCGTTATCAGAGGCCGGTCGTAGGTTTGAATCTGCCCTGGTTGTGAGTGAGAAAGTACTGCTAAAGATGAATATCATCCCAATCTGAGTTTTACAATTTGTTTTAGCTCTTGTCATGCAAAACAGTGGATTTTATGGAGTGAGAAAGTACTGCTAAAGATGAATAAATAGTAAGTTTTCACATCATCCCAATCTGAGTTTAACAATTTGTTTTAGCTCTTGTCAAACAGTGGATTTGATGCATAGAAATATTATTGTTTTTTAAATGTAAAATAAATAATAAAACATAACCGGTTGGTAAAAGTGTAAGTAAATAAGTAAAATGACATTTTAGTAATTAGAAACCAGACCCCCGGTGAGGTGTCTGAGCTCTGTGTGTGTTCCGTCTTCCTCCGTCCTACTCCATTAAAAACCTTAGCCTCAGTGAACCGCTTCACACTTCATTTGATTTTGTTCAATTTCACAGGGAGTGGCCGCCCTGTGAAATCTTTGAAAACCCTTCCAGTCCACCGGTCAGTTGAGCATCACAGTCAGTGAGGAAGGTAGAATGATGAACACTGATGTTCGGAGTTCAACACCACAGCAGGTAGATCACTGTTTATTTCAATCACAACCCGGAGGGTTTGGTTTTTATTTCAATGCAGGAGCAATGGAATAAAACTGTGACTGTAGAGGATTTACTAACTCCTCCTGACCTGATAATACTGTTTGTCTAAACCAGGGGGTGTTAAAATCATTTTAGTTCAGTGGTCCAGATTAGATGTCAAGTGGGCCGGACCAGTACAATCCTAACATAATTATAAGTATATAAGAAAACATTCATATTTGATGAAAAAAACATCAACATTTTTTTTACTTTCAAAATTAATCAAGCGGGCCGGAATGAACCCCAAGGCGGGCTGGTTTTGGCCCGCGGGCCGCATGTTTGACACCACTGGTCTAAACGGTCCTTTACACCGCGGGGTGTTGACTGAACGTGTTTGTCCTGAAAGCAGTCCTTTTCATAGAAACTGATGAAGCTGAGCTGTGCTGAGCTACTCCTTCATCTTCATCATCATCATCATCATCATCATCTACCTGCTACTGTAGCCTTGGTGTCCAGCCTGCTGTCGCTGTGGTTGCTCCCGTCCATGTCCTGGCTCATGGGCTCTGTGTGAGGAGCGGCTGCCGATGATTGATGTCCTGTAGAGCAGCGGGTAATTAACAAGTGCACTTCATTAACGGCTGATGAACGGTCGAGGTTCAAGACTTGGTGACATTTAATGTAAAAATGAGGCACAATAAAATTGTTTTAGCCTGATTATAGGGTCATAATGAAAGATTAAAAATATGATGACAACATTAAGGGAGCTGCCGTCCAGGTACCTGTGTGTGTGTTGGCAGTGTGCAGCAGACTGTGCTCCGCCTGGTCTCGCAGTTTCACCTCCTCCTCCAGAGCCTCCTGTAGTCTCCTCTTACTTCTCTTCTCCTTCTTTAGACGCTTCTGGATCAAAACTAAAGGAAGATGGAAAAAAATGTGGTTTGAGTTCATGATGAGGAATAAAAAACAAATCTGATGGAGTTTTTAAATACCTGCCAATTATATTATATTCAGTGTGTGTTCAGTGTGTACACAAATACCCCTAGTACCCTACATACTGTATGTAGCCCTATGAAAATACACAACATGCAATATAGAAAAAGGAAAGAAAAAACAGTCAATTTAATACACCAATATATAAGTAATTATATATTAAATATATAATATATTTAATTACAATGTACAGAAAAATACATGTACACAAACATATTCAGTATATGTATATACAGTATGTAGTGTGTATGTATGTGTATTTATGTAAATGTATATATTTGCATATATTTATATATGTTAATATATACACAAACAAACATAAATACAATGTATGTATGCATATATTTATGTATATATATGCAGCTGTACATATGTATGTACTATGTATATATATATGCAGCTGTATGTATATATATTTTTATGTATATATATATGCAGCTGTATGTACAGTATATATATTTCGTTGATGTAATATATACATATAAATCCTTTTAAATTATTCATATATATTACATATATTTGGTATAATAATATAAATTGTTTCTAATTATTAAGCTCAGTTGTGGCTTTTAGATCAAACGCCCTGTGGACCAAACATGACGTATTGCTGTGACAGATCTGGCCCCCGGGCCATATCTCTGACATCAGTGGTTATCATGTCGGTCCCTCAGTCTCCTGGCTTTACGAGAGATTCCTGTACGACGTGTTGTCGAGGTTGGAATGAAATATTATTTGTCAGCGAGTGCAGCCAACATGAAGTGGCCAGCCTGCATGAAATCAAACTGGATTCACTTTGAGGCATCACTGGTGGGGAAACGCTTGTTTTACCGTGTCTGTGTGCACTGACTGTCTCCTCCATCACGTCAGACACACCGGGTCAAATGTCCAGGATCAGCTTCGACTTCCTACAAACCCACTATGATCTTATCAAGACAAACGGCCTTAATCTGACATTAATGTGATTAGGGAAGCCCTTGGACATGTGGTTAGAGGATCAGGCCTGATTTTTGGAGTGGGGTTGAAGGTTTGAATCCTGCCCTGACTGTAGTAACCAGTACCAGAATTACTGGATGGGTATTTATTGGAGCTCCTGTCATGTTAGTGACGTAAGTAATATTATATTTGTTTGTTTATATTTTAATAATATAAATATATGTATATATAAAAAATAATATATATTATATTATATATATGAATATATATATATATATTTTTTTTTTATTTTTTTTTTTATTTCGTGTGTAGCGTCCAGTGTGGTCTACCTCTGTTTTTCTGTTCGATGCTCAGCTGACGCTCCAGTGTCTCCCTCAGCTCCCTCTCTCTGACCAGCTCCAGCTTCAGCTCTGTCCTCTCCAGCTGGTCCTGCTTCTCCTGCGCCCGGGCGTTTTCTATGGCAACCCTCAGCAGACCCTGCTTGGAGACACATCAACAGGTTACACAAAACATCCAGCAGCCACCTCCGCACTCTTACAAACACTTTCACCTAATCCCGAGTAAATAATTATTTTTATTTTTTTGGATGACACTAAAAAAAGAGATCTCCCTGCGGCAAAAACACAAAGATAAGAAAAGATCCTGGCTCTACTTCAGGCAGTTGGATAATAAAAAAAAGAAAAAGAAAATGAATTTGACTTTTCAACATGAAAGCATGGCTGATCTTTTAACTGGGTGCTAAAAGCAGAAGTGCCATCGCATCAGGGTCAAACCAGGTTAAAAACATGTTTTTCCCCCCTCTGTGTAAACCAAACCAGTGAGTGCTTTCATTGTGACTCTGCTGTAACAAAGACAAGCTAAATCTGAGAAGCAGGTCAGCACACGCCCATTCCAATTACTGCATTTCTTAAATGTCTGCCGTGTCTGCTATTTACCATTTCAGGAAATCCCAAAGAGTGTCTCATCTCCTTTCCTATTCATCTCACAGTATAATAATAATGATGATAATAAAGCCCCAGCAGAGCCTCACCTGGATGTTCGTGAGCAGGGTCTCTATGGAGGACAAGCCTTCAGGGAAGATGAAGGGAGTGTGGTGGAGACCTGCTGGGATCTTCTGTCCCGCAGGGTAAGCTACCCTCTCGCAGCCCTCCCTGCCTGACGGGGGTTTCTGGTACGCTTGTCTATCACAGCTCTCCCTGCTCGTCTGAGTGGCCAGGCTGTTGGTATCTGCAGGGCAGAGACGGAGACATGGTTGATGTCGGTGTCACCGAGGACGATACAGTAATAAGGGGACACGGCGTTGATGAAGGTTAAACTCAGATTTGTATTAATTACACTTTCGCTAATGCATTAAGTTCATTCATTGTACGCGGCCCAAACATCAAATGGGTGTTTACACTAATTACTGCCCGTGCGAATGCCGGTACATCGACGGAGAAGTGCCGCTTTGAGGGATTGAAAATGTGGTTAGCCTTTATTAGATGGCACTCTGCCTATTGATAATTCATCACAGCTTGACATCTCACATAAAAACAGCTAAGACGCTGCATTATGGATGACCATCTGTTTGTAAACCTGAGAACGGCCTATTCCCGATTGGTGACAGTGAGGGAGATGGCGATTAGCTATTTCGCCTGCTTCCCCCCCGCAGCCCCACCCGCTGCATCAGGCTGTTGCTCACTCCATGTGTGGACTGTCACCCGAGCCACTGAGGACGGCGACGTCCTGGGAGTCCGCTGTCTATTGGAGCAGAGACAAGTGTGAACGTGAGATGCGATATCTGGCACTTTTCCTCCGTCTGTGACAAATGACAGTGTTTTCTCCACTTAGCTGACCACAGCATCTTCTGCTCCAAAACCCCACCCTCCTCCCTTTTACTCCGCCTCGGCCGCACGTCTTGGCAACTGTCACATTCAAGGTGTTTCACAGATGAGAGGCAATACCCCTCCCTTTTCTGCCTCTTTCTTGCTAAAAGCATTGCTCTGTAGAGAAAGGTAATTAGCAGGTGCTGGCGAGCTCAGCGGAGGGCATCCAACTACACTCCTGTGGCTCGCATACAGACACACACACACACACACACACATATTCATAGCCACTGAAGTGCACAGTCAGCAGCGTGGGCTCCCCAGGCTCCTTGGATGTGACTGATCCTTTATTGAGTTACTGTTTTACGCCTACTTTACTTCACACTCACACCTTTGGCATAAACACACACAGACACACACACATATAACACACTGCCAGCTCGTTTAATCATTTACCCATTTCTGTAACCAAGGTCACTGTCTGTTTTTCTTCTTTTCTCCCAACTTCATCTCTCTTTCTTCCCCCCCTTCGTCTCTTATCCCTCTCCCACCCGTCCCCAGGGCTAATGAACTTCACCACGTGAAGAAGACTGCCAGTCAGCGGAAGAGATCGGAGAGAGAGAGACAGAGAGAGAGGGAGAGAGAGAGAATAAAAATCTGCTGATGTTTGGGTTAATGGGAGTGAGGTGTCAGGGATGGCCTCTGATCTTTGCTGCATGGATACGTTGTTCAAAGACCACCAAAAACAGCACACACAGCCAAAACTGACTTGCATACACACTCTCTCTCACACACACACACACACACATTCACCCGGAGATTATCATACAATGGATTGACAGAATGACAGCGGCGGAGAGCTCTTTGAAACTCCGTCCGATCCACGCTAAACCTGTCCTGTGATGTTCTAGGTCAAATACAAAAGCCTGCAATCCAGCAAATGTACATGCATTTCATTTGCATGCAGGAAAATCAATTGAAAATCAATTGCATAAATGTGATGCCTGATGCATGGCGTTCACGTCGTCGGTGCCATCACTGTTTCATCAATACGTTCACAGATACCTGACAGCACGTGAAGCCCTTACCTGGGCGGCCTTTGTGATTTTTCTAGATTCGATTACTGAATAATGTGATTCGCTATCGGAATACATTGACGCGGGCGCGTGCGCGCACATACAAACTCCCACTTTCCCTCTCACTTTCGCTGCCTCTCGCAGGAGATTTCTGCTGACTGTTTGTCCTTGAGCAGTCCTCATTAAGCTAATGCAAACCTCCCTGACAGAGAGAACCAAACAACTGACGTTGCAGCGCCGTGGCAACGCGGGCCTTAACGACAGGGAGGCAGCGGTTATGCAGATGAGGTCCAGCTGAGAGCACGGGAGGCCGCCTGGCTCGTTAGGCCACGGCCCGGCAAATGGCTCGCTAATGTAACACTGCTTCCTGGTCTAATGGAGCCCTGTTTTTGCAGAATTATTTGTCTTTGCTCGCTGCGGGGTGTCAGGAGGGCCACCAACGGTGAGGAGGAGAGAGGGGAGGGGGGACAGGGGGAGGAGGGGTGAACACTCGTGAACCTTCATCGAACTGTTACTGAGAAATTCTGCTGCCGTGGAACAGTGAGGATCACACTCCTTCTTAAAAAGGAATACATTTGACACACAGTTGGAAATGACTCGGAGGTGAAGAAAATAAAAGTCCAAAAGCTCAGTGTGTGAGAATGTACGATATAAAACCCCTCACTCTTTTTTATCCGAACACTAAGTGTGTTTGGTGGAGGGATGCTGCCCCCTGCCTGCGTTTTCTCTGATTTCTTTGCCACTGGTCTGGATGTTTCCAGTTTCTAGTTGAAAACAAATTGATTAAAGAGCAGTAATGCAACTGGAGAAAACTGAAACTGGACAAAGAGGACGTAGCTAACACAGGTGAGCTACAAAAACGCACTAGCTGTCAATTTTAACATTGGTGATATTTATCAGATTCAAAGTGTGTTTCAAAAAGTCAGACCAGAAGACTGATTAATATTGTTAACCAAAGTTAATAAAAGCTCAATTTTGAGTTGGATCATTTTTTATTACATTTTTCCATTTTATTGATTCCATCGTTTGGAAAGTAACAAATAAAAACAGGTGTGAAACACAAATATCTAACTACCTACTAGTTATTTGTCTTTCTGTTCCAGCAATAAACTAAAAATTGTTTTTTTTTTGTCATATGTAGGAATGTGGATTCATCTTGATTAATCCTGATTAATTCCGTTAACTTAATTGAATAATCGTGATTAATCAGATTACATTTTTTAAGTGTTTAACAGGCCTAAACAAAAAAAGTGTAATTAATTTAATGGAAAGATGTTGGTGTCATGTACACATAATTCTATACCACTGCGCACCAAGGCGTCTGAGCTGTGTTCATAGCAGCCCCTACAGGTCAGTGCAAGAACTTCTTAGAATAAATGAATGAATAAAGGATCACAGTTTCCACAGTTGCCGAGGTGCAAATGATGACAAGGACAGATGGACTGGACGCATCATCAGTGCTGGTTCTAGAGTATTGACAGAGTTTATTCAAAGGGAATTGATCGGGGACGAGAAATAATCATTACTAAACATTAAAAGATTAACGACTTGGAAGAAGTCATTTCCATAAACCTTGACCTTTAAGGTTACATGTAAATTTGAAGGCCAGCACTGACCCTGGTTCAACCAAACTAGTAGAAAAAAAAAGAAAACCCACCGAGCTCACCTCTGTCAGTGTGGCTCCTCTTGTTCTCCTTGCCGTATTCTACTGGAGTTTCAGCCTCTTTTATACTCGGCACCAGACCAGGAGAGTGTCCCAGCACACTGTGACTTGATGACAGGCCATCAAGAGAGACTGCAGAGGACAAAGGGAAGTCACACAGAGTCCACGAAGCACTCGTTTGCAAATTTGCAGTTACATTCTTTTTCTGAGGGTTGATAAATTCGTACATGTGACTTCTTGGATGCGGTCTGTATGAGACGGGGAACTGGACGCACTGCTGCTGTGATTGGACGACATCTGGGCTTCATCCAGTGAAGGAGAAGGCGAAGGGCTGTCACGCACTCTCTCCTACAAAAACGACAACAAAAACAACAAAAACAAAGTGAAACTGTGACTTTCAGCTTCTGTTACATGATTAATAAACAGTCCAAATCCAACTGAGGACCAGCCTTGTTCTCATCCCTGTGTCACGTATCTGTGACTGATCCCTGTGTGCAGACGGGAATAAAAGCTTTTGGGAGAAATGAAGGATCGGATATCAATGTTTTTATGTCGTTAGCCTCTTTTAACAAACAATCCCCCGGAGGCCTTACTGTATATTCACAGGTTAAAGTTTCATAACTTGAGCCCATGTTGATTGAACTTGGACTATCTTTAGGGTTGACAAAGACACACTGCTGTTTCCACAATAAAGAGGTGTTGGGTTGGTGTCCAAGGTGTGGTTTCAGAAAATAAAGCTGACCTTGCTACTTCTTTAATGCAAAAAAATGCACCTTTATTAGCTGTTAGGACGTATTAATAGTATAATATAATGTGATATCATATGACTAACACTGTCTTTGTGTGTATGTTAGACAGTGTTTACAAAAGAAGAAACTGTTTGTTTGTGCTTTATTGTCTTTTTTCTTCTAAACTGGACTATCATGATAATCTGAGTTTGATTCCAAGAACTATTGAGTGATTCTTTTCAAAATCCACTGAGATCTCCTCTGAATTGACTGTGGCCCAGTGAGTG